GAAAGGACGGGTGCTATGTAAAGGCCTTGACATCCATTCAGAACACTGTAAGTAGTAAAATATCTGGAGAAATAGTTTCCTTTCTATTTTTAGTTATGACAGGATAATTGATTGCAGCCCCATGGCCGTCCCCACCGTCCCCCTCCACTTTCTGCCACATTCAGTGTGTCAAGTTCTTTTTCAAGGATTTTATGAAGCCTCTGGCTTTACCTTAGCTGGGGTAGTGAATCTTCCTAGAAGAGGGTGAAGCCAGGTGCCACAGAGCTCACCTTTACACTCTGATCACAGTCTCCAGGGGTCAGCCTCTAGCAAGACTGAGAAGTCAGCCAAATCTGTCTGTGAGGCTGATACCACTTTATGGCTTCCTACTTCTATTTTCAGCACTTTCTTTCCCCTAGATACTCCGGGATCTTCAGTTAGTGAGAAAAATAATGATGAAGTCACACATGACATTGTATAATTTAGATTTAAGAACTGCCTTCTGTTATGAGGCTACTTTAAAAATGTAGAATTTTAAAGGAGTAAACTAGAAACAGCTGAGTTAAGGACTGGTGAAGTGTAAGGGCACAGTGGGAAAGATTTGGGTAGAGAGGAGAGGGAAGGGTTTCCTGGGTACCTCCAACCATACCACAGGCCCCTCATTTGTATGTTCACACATGGCTGGGATGGTTCTTCATTTTTTCGTGGATGTTAGAAAGTTTGTCAAAGTTAGAGAATGTGTGCCTATTACAGAAAGGGAAGGAGGCAGAACATAGGGGAAAAAGAATGATACACAGCTGTTTATTTGTGGAGAGTATAGCTGCAGAGAGAGTACAACTAAAAGACCACCTTTACCAGCATCTCTCCCTGTTCTACTTCCCATCTATCTTAGAAGTGAAATGTTATATGAAATGGCCGATTCTAAAGGTGTAATCAATCTTAAAAGAGTTAATTTATTCTTCTAAAAGGGAATTTGAATTGTTAATATTCACTTGGTCATGCTGTGTTTTCCTGTATAACTTTAAAATGCATTAATGATAGAAACATCTATTTTTATACCATTTTCCCTCTCCAAAACCCTTTCTGTATGCTTACTTTCAAGCTTAGGGAGTTTATGCTTACACTTCACCACTTAGGAAGTTTGAGGACAGATCCTACAACACTAGGAACTTGAATATTCTAACATAACAAAACTAGTGCATGGTGAGTTTTGACACAGATCTTACCAAGGTAATTCAATAAAACACACACACACACACACATACACATACAAATACACACATACATTTTTCTGACTTTAACTGAAATTAGTACAATTTTGAAGAATATTGTTATTATCTAAATTATATTCTTTGGTTCTTTAAGGATATGGCTTGTAGCTTGTAAATTCTGCAACTAACAAGGACACCTTAGTTCTGTTTTTTTCTTCTTCCTCATGAAGAGTCATTATTTTGTGCCACATCACATTTTCTTTTGTAGCTTTGAGGCTCTTTAAAATGTACTCACATTATTCAACACCTAGGTGGATAAAAAACTAATACTGTGTTGCTAATTCTACATTTACAAATAAGAAAACACATTTTTTGTTTCACATATGGGAAACAATAGCACTTCTGCAGTGATTAGAATACTAGCTAAAATTTATATGTAATGCACCATCCTTCTAATTTTGCAAGAAATATTCTGTTACCTTCAGTTTTCTCATTCTTTTCAATTTTCCTAATGCTTTAAATAGGGAAAATATAAAATTTGTTCATAAGTAATAATAAATACAAGAATTTGATTAAAATATTCCTATTAATTATGTATAATTAATCACCACATCCACAACTTTTGCTTAGACCATGTGCTCTTTTAGTTAGGGAGACCTATCAGTTTGCCTGGGGCTCTCTGAGTTTTAACACTGAATGCCTTCAGTCCAGGCAAACCAGGGTGGTTGGTCACTGTAACCCCAGTTCACCCTCCAGCAAATTTCTCTTCTCTCTTTAATATCCAAGTTTCTCCACTGAATACTCTGCACTCTCCTTCTCCATGTCTTAACCCTTCAATATACTCCTGAACTCAAAACAACTGTGCCTCTCACTTGATGACTCCATTCCCCTGCATTTTGCAAGAGTCCCCAGTGACCTTTCTTTTTCCAAAGGAGACTTGCCAGAACTCATCTCAGTGGATCCTTCTGTTGGATTTTACACTGCTCATCATACTTTCTCTGAAGTTTGTTACTGCCAAGACTTGCACAGTAGTCCCTCTTATCCTCAGGGGATACGGTTTAAGACCCCATTGATGCCTAGAACTATGGATAGCATTGAGCCCTATATATATATATACTGATTTTCCCTATATATACCTATGATAAAGTTTAATTTATAAATCAGACACAGTAAGAGATTAACAATAATAACTAATAGTAAAGCAGAATAATCATGACAATATACTGTAATGAAACATGTGAATGTGCTCTCTCAAAATATCTTATTGCACTGTACTCACCTTTCCTGTGATGACGTGAGATGATAAAATGCATATGTGATGAGATGAAGTGAGGTGAGTGCTGTAAGCATTGTGATCTAGCATTAGGCTACTATTGACCCTCTGGTGATGCACCAGAAGGAGAAACATCCACTTCTGGAGTGGGGTCGACAGCGGGCAACTGAAACTTCAGAAAGTGAAACTGTGTATAGCATCTAAGCTTTCTCTGTTTCCATATGTTTACCTCCTAAATAGTTCCTTCTTTCTTCATCCTTATTCTCTCCTAGTTTCAAAAGTCCTTAATTTGTCTTGAGTATTACCAGCACAGCCTCCCAAATCGTCATATTGGTTGCTCTAGCTTTGCCTTCCAAATCTGCCCTGCTTCATAGGACTTAATAGTTTCTGGTACACAGCACACAGTACAGTGTTTCCTACAGCATTACTTACATAAAACCATGGAGACATCTTTACTATTTTACTTATGACAGTACAAGCTATCTACTTATGTATCATTCCCCCATGCCCAAGACAGTAAACTCTTTAAGAGAGTCATACTTTACTTATCTTCATATCCCTAGTACCTACTTCTGTGCCTGGCATGTTATATGGCTATATTAAGTGAGCAGGTAGATGATCAGTACAACCTTCAACTGTGTGTTTTCTGGGGGGGGCGAGGTCTATAACTGTACCCTTCCCACCCTCTCTTCTAAAGGAATAAGACCATGGTTTATGATCCCATCTACATATCGCCAAAGGAATTTCACATGTAGTGCATCCTAAATGACCAGTTACAGAGTGAATGAATGAATGCATGAATGGGTACATTTAGGTTCTCAGGACAATGGACTACAATGAATGAGTGTTTTGAGACACAATCACAGAAACTATAAGTAGTTAAAAATCCCAAATAATTCAAAAGATGCTTTAAGCCTTTAGGTTGGTTAGAAAATATATTCCCATCTAAATGTGAGCAATTCATAAAATATTTTGTACATGCTAAATTCTTACTGAATATGTTCAGCAGGGTTTTAATTTTTTTATATCCCTTAAAAATGGCTTAACCTTAGGAGCACTAAAGGCATTTTGTATCTTGTATAATTTTAGAGGCTATACTAGGGTTTGCATAAAAACTCAAGAGATTTATCTAGAATATTTTTAAATGGCATAACTATATATTTTGGCAGTTTTAAAGGATTATGCATCAGAAATAAAACCTAAAATATTTTAATCATAATATTTTGAAATGGAAAAACTAGAAAGAATTATATATCATTCGTAATTTTCAAGCACATAATAAATGTTTAAGCTACTAGCTTGATTTTAATTTAGCTATATTTTCAAAGTATATTTCAAAAGACAATGAACATTTAAGCACAACTTCTGTATTAATTAATTTCTATTGAGTTAAAAGGAAGAGCCTAAAATAGTGCCCAAAATATGGAATTTTTTTTTCCTCTTCAGTCATCACACTCTCTTATGGTAACATTTAATGGTCCTTCTGATATTCTGAGCTCATCTAACTACTGTGATGAGAATTACTATTATCAGCCAGATGCTTAGTGTCTGGAGAAAAGAATGCAGTTTTCAAGATATTTTTCCATCTGATTTACTTCTTCATATTTTACCAAAAGGTAAAAGCTGTACAGAATAAAAATTATGTATCAAAATCTCTCCCTTCACTTTTATGAGAAATCAGTATGTAATATAACAGAGATAGAATCCTATGGCATTTTGAATGGGAAACTAAGATAAATGTAGATTTTTTAAATTTAAAATTTCATTAATATTAAACAACAACTGTTTATGTAACACAATCCATTCACAATAATAATCAACTATCTTCAAATAATTGTTTTATTTAAGAGCAGAAATTTTACACAATAAGAAATCTAGTACAATTTAAATGCAGCATGGTGGGCTTTGCATATGTACCAGAAGTTGCTCAATGAATTCTGAAAGTTTATTAAAATCCTTATGTTTATATGTGATTAAGTAAGCTCATGTACTCATGTTCTCCGTATTTAAGTGGTGTTAATTTTCAGCTTTAAAAAAATACACGAAAATGAGTTGCATATTTGACTTCCAAAAATATCTGAACTTCCTATTTGTGAGACTTAAGTTCTTACAGATATGAGGGAGTATTTATTCTCATTTGCTTTGATTTCATATTTAAATGGACTAAATTTTTGGATTAATCATAGTTTTCTAAAACAGATAGTTAAAGAAACAAGCTGATTTCTATTCTCTACTTTTAAATACACAAAGAAAAGCATTTCAGGATCCTGCCACACTCAATCCTTTAGTACAACCTTCATTTTTCTTGAGTCAGAAAGAAATACACTATCTACTTTGTTATTCTAGGGCTGAGATATATATAGTCTTACATCTCAAATATAGCTGAGGGTAGTCAACTCATCCCAGTTTGCCTAAGAGTTTTCCAATAAAATAAAAGTTTCTCATCCCAGGAAATCCCTTAGCCCTAAACTGGGACAGATGGTAAACACAGTTACAGATGAACTGAAGTTTGAAACTTTGAGATAAAAGAGCCTTACCTTTACATCATTGATGTTCATTCTTGTTCCCTCCTTTCCCACAAAAATATCATCAATATCCACAAGGATGTATCTGTCCAAGGACAACATGAGTCTCTTCCCTGACAGGAAGGAAACCGCGTCTATGAAGATGAGCTTATGCAACCAAAAGTTGAGGTTGTTGCCAAAAAGAACTCTTTGAATTCCATCATGAAGCCCCAGGTCATGTATGATAGTGGCATAAAAAGCACCTTTAGATATGGGAGGAGATAGGTTTTCAGGGGTCTTTACTTTGGCAAATATTACTGGTTGGTAGGCTGAGTGATTTATCTGGAAAACTGTCCAATCAGTTCCAGGCAAAGAATCTTTTCCAAGCTTAGAAGGTTTGGTCACATGAAGTAATGGAGAATGAGGATTAATACAAAAATCTCTTACTGCAAGGTTTCCATAGATGGAAAAAGGGAAACCTTTCAACTGAAAGCTCTGCAGGTTCTTCTCAGTAGATTTGTGGAATCCAATGACACCCACACCATATTCTACACAGTATTTATCTAAAAGGCTTCGATTCCAAGAGTCCATATTTACATACTTTAAAATATTCTCATAAATAATGAGAATATATTTGCCTTTAGTTTTTTCTGTAAGTGCTGGGAGGTCTCCTTTACCAGGAGCAATTTCAATGTGATACTGGAATCTACTGGATTCTAGAGTCATAATGATGTCTTGACCAAGAGATGAGTACTGGCTCTCCACGAACACCAAGACTGTGGGGCCTGTCCTTGAGGCATCAGAAAGCTTCGTCGTCCTCACTTCCACCAGCCTATATGGTAGGTTTTGGAAGTCCCCACAGTCCACTTCTGAAGCCATCTCAGACAGTTCATTTTCCTGTTTGTGGCCACTGTACAGGTAGTAAGCAGAAATAATAATGCTCACCATACAAAATGTGGCAAGCAGAATAACTGTTCTTTGAAAGTGTCTGTGAAGCTTCAAGAGAAAACTCATATTGTATGCACTTTCCTCAGACTGTTCCAGTAGAAGCACCATAAAAAAATAAAAGAAGATGGCGTTTCAGCTACTTCTCAGTCAGTAGTTTATGTCACCATTGCAGCACATTTGCATTGCTTGATTAGGACTCACAGAAAATACACTCTGAAAAGTAGAATAGAATAGAATATCAAACATTCAGTCTGCAGCATTAAAATGAGCATGTTTTTACTTTGATGACTGGCATTAATGGCAATCTCTTAGTCAGATGAACTGGTTTATGGTAGATAAGGAAACCTCTCATTCCTTCTTCCAGATCTTGATGAGGACAGGGAAGGGTAGAAAGAGGAAAAGGGCCCCAATGAACAGCTCCTTTCTGTAAAAGGCTCTATTTCTAGTACAGAAAAGACATTGGGGCTAACGAGGGCTTTCTTTAGCTCACTGAGCTTTGCATCAAACTGTAGACCTAAGATAACAGAGACCTAAGACCCCAGAGAAGTCACCTGAGCTCATCACTGCCACCTCATGTAATGTGTTCAAGCTGTTCATGTTTACATATACTGAAAATTCATAGAAGTTTGGAAAGATTTCATTAAATGCTACAATTAAGATACTAGTTTCTGCTTTATGGAAAAGAACTCTAAATATATGTAAAAAGTATATAAAAGTATTTTCTTAAAAAATTGAGAACAACCAACACTTCATGAAACGTCTTGTTATGCTATAATTTCAAACCCTTTGAAGTCCTGGTAACCTTTGAAAATTTGGTAACTTGAAAAATAATAAGAAAGAAACAAGGTGCTTCTTAGCAGAAATTTATTAAAGTCTTATGGTCCTGGCACTTTTCAAGGAAATGTCATGGAATATAAAATAAAAATTAAGAAGGCCTAGTTATTGTCCATAAGGCAGCCTAAAAACTAGCTGGTAGGACAACATGCACTGGAGGAACATCACATTTGATGTTTTCTGTAAGATTTGGGTGCATTGCCCCTCTGCCTCTTATTATGTCACTTTGACCCCAGTACCTTCCAAGTAAAATGATTAAGGTTGGAGTAAGTGATCACCAAGAACATTCTGTCTCTATAATTCTGACACCCACCTAGTAAGCAATGAATGATATTTTGAATAACATACATTTATCTTTATGAATAATATATATTCTGGAGTATAATTGCAAGATATTTATAGGCTATCCCATTTATCTTGTAAATTATATATTGTAGTTATTCATTCAATATTTAGGGCATCTACATCATTTATTTGAATATTTATGGGGTAACTATCTATTTAAAAATAAATGTATAGTACAGTGAATTTCTTTAAAGGGTCCACAATCATAAAGTAAGACAGTGAGTGACAAACAATAACATATGGGTTCTTGATTAGAGACAAATGACAGCAATGGGATGAGAGAAGAGACCATGGCAAGCGGGGAAGTCGGTAATGCTCCTGGAGAAGGTAGGATTGGGCAGACCCTTTAAGAATGAGGATGATATGAATAGGAATCGAAGACAGAAGTTTACAGAGGCAGGTATCAGCACAATATTGGGCAAGAGACACTCTGATGCAGAGCAGAAGGAAAGATGAAAAAAATAACTTTTACCAAGTGTGGGCACTCAAGATTATGGAGATATTTGATAGTGTAGAAGTTTATGGTTGAGAAAGCCTGTGGGGAGCATTACACTTTCGTGGTTTGGACAATAACATGATAAGGGGAAGAATCTTCAGGAAAGTGAATTAATCAGTAGTGTGGATGATACAGAGCACTATTAGAGAGTCAAGTCTGGAAAGTGAGTTGCTGTCTGATGCCTCACAATCCAGGCATCAACTGTTTGTTAGTGATCACAGGTCAGGGATTATGTGGGAAGGGACAAGTCTGAGGGACACTGCAGAGAAAGGGGAACACAGGACTTGGTCCTCTGAAGGACCATATGAAGTCTGTGGTAGCCAACCCTCTGCCAAGTAAAATGCCATCCACTGTCTGGCATGCTGTAAGATAAACCTAATATGAGAGATAACATTCTAGTGTTTTAAACATTTGAGCATAGATTTAGGTGTAATTTAAGCAAATCCGAATTACCAGGACAACTGAGAATTTTCATTATAATTGTAATTATTTCAATTTGAAAGTAATTGCAGTTTTAAAGTTATTTCCATGTTTATGAATAATACAATATTCTGGAGCATAATATCAAGATGTAACATTTCATCTTTCTTTGTGCCCGTGTTTCAGTTTTAGCTGTGAAGAGTTTTGACTGGATGCAAAATGTATTATTACCACATCTTACATTTCAGATAGCAACATTCCATAGTTTGTTCCTACTGTCAGAAGTGATCAGCATGTAACTCATACAATTCTTACTTGGGATGAAGCAGACTGGTGAGGAGTATTTACTCTCACTATTTAGGATGGGTGTTAGGAACCTATCAAAGCTGCCTTCTCCATTAGCAGATATAACATACTTAAAGACATTTCTTTTCCATTAAACTCTTCAAGTTTCCTCCAAAAGCCAAAGGGAATTCCAGTGTAATGTCCCTGAGGGTAGAATTTGATCTAACATATTCAAGATTCTTTAAGTTTTCTTTAAGTGACTTTTGTGACTGCACATGTCACTTTGCTGTGCCCACGTTAGTCTCTGGGGTAGATTTTTTTTGTTTTTGCATCTTCCTTAATTTTTGTATTGAAGTATTGTTGATAAACAATCTTATATTGGTTTCAAGTATATGACACAGTTGTTCAACAGTTACCTACATTATTAAATCCTCACCCTCACTAGTGCAGTTACTATCTGTTAAAAGAGGAAGATGTTATAGAACCATTGGCTATATTCTCCATGCTGTACTACAACCCCTGTGACCAATTTCTATTTTCATTGAGAATTTTTATGCCCCTTAGCATCTTTCTTATTTTGAGCACATCTTTTCATAACAAAGCTCTGGTGTGGACTCTTAAAGTTTACTGTTCCTACTACAACCTTTTCCAAAAACAAGTACTTCCCATTCTCTGTGTCTCTGTTAACTCTGAAAATCTCAGTGTCTTGGCAAAGGGTTTCAGTCCCCAGCAAGCTCACTATGGATTCAGTGTGACCAAAGAAATGACAGTAGAACGTTTCTTTGGGGTGAAAGGGTTTATTACCCAGCTTGTTCCCCCAGCAGTAGGTCGAGCTCTAGCGTCTTTGCCTTCACCCAGAGAGAGCAGTGGGCTGAGCTGTCTATATAGCACAATAATAGCTTATTGCCTAAAGATGTGGAAGTGGTAGCCTAGCAACAGGCCAGTTACATCATCAAGGGGGTTTAAGTTCAGTGAGGATCCTGGCCACAGGAACCCCAACTTCCCCACACTCAGGATAAACTGAACTGCTTCGGTTGCTCCTTCTGCATGGGAGGTCACTGCCACAGCTTCTCCTGAGCCCTCATGATGGTGGGGCATCACTGGGAACTACAAAGGTACCTGTGGAAACTAAGCTCCTCCATACAGTCCCCTGCAAAACCTTTTCAGTATGGAGCTGACCTCCCAAACTTGGTAATGACCAGCAGTTTCACACACACATTGTGGGAAATATTTCTCCTTTGTACTTGACACTAATGAAATTAAAATTTTGTCTAAAGTCAGCCTCCCTTGTCTGACTGTACACTCTAAGAGAATGGATATAACCTCTTTTGTCTCTCACTGGGCCCTTAGTCCAGGCACAGAATAAGCACAGAAAGACTATTTGTGGAATTAGTTGTATAAAGTGGCAATTCAATTAATAGGTTAATTTGACACTTCTACCTTATTCTACAGCCATAACTTATTTTTAAAGTCATGCATCATTATGTTTATAATTATTTATACATTTGCTAGATTTAATGTCTGTTTTATTTAATCCTAAGAAAATACAATCAAACCATTCAATTATGGGATAAAAAAGCCACTATGGTAGGTATTAAATCTTCAACCACCCAAAGATGTCTATCAATTAATGATTGTGCAAAGTAAATCCTACTTTGGGCTTAGTATTGTACTAGGTTCTTGGGATACCTCAGAGGTGGTATTAGGAATGATTCATGTAGAAGCATAGTCTTTATTGGGAGAAATAAGATTTGCAAAACAACAGCCAACATTATATTTCTCCTAATATATAGTCATTTATGCTATACAAGTTACTAAAGCTGTTACAAGTGTGAGAAGAGTGAGGGAGATTAATGATATTTACAAAAGCCAATGGCAGTTTATAAGAGACCGAGTGCTTGAGGAGGACATGACATGGTGGGCAGGATTTGGATATGAGGATGGGGTGAACCTGACAGGCAAAACAACTGGGTAAAGTTGAAGAATGAAATGGTTAAAATGCGTTTATCTGAAAGTGAGATGAAACTGTATGATACTATGTGTTGGATTGAAAATGGAAATAATATTTCATTGAAAGAGCAGCTGCAGATTATAGTGAATGGCCTTGGAAGTGACTGTGAAGCTTAAGAGTGTCCACTTGGAAACAGTACTGTAATGCATTTGAACAGAAAAGAAATAGTTAAAATAGTGTTTATAGATGATTAGTGTAGCAGTGACACCCAGAATGGACCAACAGCAGTACTACAAACAGAGTATATGCTTCTCTGTACAGAGTGAAAAAGGAGTGGAGTCAGGATGGTTCCAGCTAACAGGCTGCTGCATAATCCAGGTGAGGATAGGATACGTGCAAAGTGAGGTGGTGATCAAAGAGAATAAAAACAAAGAGAGACTTGGAAGGAAAACTCACAAAGACATGATTACTGTTAAATTATGGTTGGTGACATGGGCAGGATGAGGGACTAGAAGAATAAAAGTGCCAGTCATAGAAATACAGAAACTTAGACGGGAAACTGACTTGAGCTAGTTATGTACACTTAAGGTTCAGACAGGTGACTAAATGATGCATGGGGAGATAGCAAAATCCCAGTGTTATATAAAATAGCTAGATTTTTAAAATAAAACAGTCAAGGAAATCTCTGAAATTGATTAGTCACAGGCAAATCTCTATATTGCTATACAAACTCTTTTCTTCAGGAGAGCCTTTCTTGATCAACTCTTTCTGCCTTTAGAACAGATTGTGTACTCTAAATTAAAAATTATTTTCTTTTGGAGCCTTTATCATAACTTTTGCTAAATATAAATTAGCAACATTATTTGTTTAATATCTCTCTTT